AGAGTTTTGTTTTCTTCTCTTCATCCTTCGGTTTTCTTCTTCCCCTAAGGCACGACTGGACGAAAGTTTTGGGATATCCATTTGTGTGAAATTGATGGAACAGATGCATTCATTCCTGATGCCGGAGTTCTTCTGTGCTATAATGTGTATCCGCACGGCGGAATAAAGTGTACACACAGCTCCTTAGGTGACACGTGGGGTGATTGCTGTCGTAGTTCAGCACCCGGTCAGTCGTTGTGGGTTTTCTGTACATAGTGGTTTCTGTGTTTCTGTCTGGTTTTCTTATGATGAAGACGTCCAAGAAAGGGAATGTTGATTATTCTCCTCAGAATCATTTTGCGTTCTTTTGACTCATTGTGCATCCTATAGCTTCCTATTGTCCCATTGACATTCGTTTCGTTTTGGTTATCGATTTCTTACATAATCAAGCGAGTGCACACACATCTTTACGGATACGGTACCAAATTAATCATGGGTTGAAAGAGAAATATAGAAACAGAACAGATTGCTCCTCTCGCATTTGGTGTTCAGGTGTTCGTTTAGCGCATTTTTGTGATGGCCGTGACGCAATCCGATCGGTTTATCCTGAACCTTGAGAGACTGCTTGGTCACACTGGAACGTTTACTTAACTTACTTCAGAAGATTTCCCGGATCGTATTTGATGTGGTTCATACGATGAGAAAAATATCTACTGTGCTCATATTTTGTCAAGGAAATGGGTTATTTCTATCCACTTTAATGTCGATAATGTAACCAAAACGCATATTGATTGATGGTGGTAACATTTCTCAGCCAGTTTTCTCTCTCTTCGGCTTTTCATATTACGGTAACACAGCATAGAAATTCACCGTCCTGAGAGTTCACTACGTTTTATGATATTCTGTGAACCTCAGCTATCCACAGTTGGTTCCTTCTTGTCTGTCTAGTGGTGTCTGGGCCCTGGCCATTGCCGCATACGAGCAACTTCATGCAGCCACAGGTGTATGTGTTGAGTTGATGATGTGCGTAAAGGAACAGATCGGTTCTTTAAGGGGATGGCAGATTCCACAGACGCTACTACAACTACCGGAAACCCTAAATAGCTGAATGATNAGATGTGTGTATGTGTTGGGTTGATGATGTGCGTAAAGGAACAGATCGGTTCTTTAAGGGGATGGCAGATTCCACAGGCGCTACTACAACTACCGGAAACCCTAAATAGCTGAATGATCGATGCACATCACATCATCAGATTGTATCCTATTTGAATAATCATTGGGAATCCTTCAAGTCGCAAAACTAAAGCACATGCTCCATCACGAAGAGACTGCATCTTGACATGGTGTGATGGCTTATGCACCTCTATGACCCAACGAGCTACACAGGATGGCTTTCGTCAAACCGAAGGTCGAAGGGTAGAGGTCAGACGAAGTTCAGTCTCCTGGTCCTCCATGTTGGAATTTGCGTTCCAGTCGTTAAAAATGGTGAAGGAATAATCGATCCAAGTAAATGGGCCTTCATTTCGCTTCACCCGCTGCCTTGCGACTAGGTTCTTGTCTGAACTAAAGGTTTTGGTTAAGAACCCAAATCGTTCTCCTGATTAGTGACTGGATACCCTAGCAGTATCCCCAATACGTATGCATTGCGAGTCTGGCAGCGATCATTGAAGTTCGCTTCGCCGTATTTCGCTACACGATGATGATGATGATGCACATGCCAGTCTGCGTCCGCTCGCGAAAATCTTGACGTCATTCCGGCCCTGTTTTGACCTCCCTCTTTCTCTCTCTCTCTCACTCTCCTCTTTTCATTCCCTCAATTCCAGTTGGAAGCGTTGCAATCGGAAGTCGTCTCGCTGGAATCGAAGAACGCGCGTTTGCAAGCCGAGGTGCAGCATTCACGTAATCATCTTATCTGTCTGGAAAGGTAATTGCTATTATTTCTCCCTCCCCCCGGTTCCAAATGAATTCTACACCTCAGATTAGATAACAGACACCTCATTTGTTGTTCTTGGTCACCCGCTTGATCAGGCGTGGTGGTATTGAACCTGATGACAAATTTAGGTGGCGGTGGCGGGACTCAACCACCACCCTATAGGAATTACTGGTACAGTAACCTGTATTGTCCAACACTTATCTCTCAAAAGTGTATTCTGTCGAACGCGTAACGAATCACGTTTTGTGAAGCACACACACAGACACACTTCCTCTCGTTTTTCTCTGAGAGGCCGTATACCTCTGACCAAGAAATTCGTCCGGGTCTTAATCCCTCACCTTCATATAGGCTGGAATATTGTGTTTAGCGCGTGTTACTGGATAGTTTTCATGGAGGAGGTAGTATCCGGTCCACACTTTATGACCGAGAACTGGACACTTGAATCTTGCCTCTCAGCTGCTGT